TTTCTATCTGACCTGAAACCAAGTGACTATTTGTACCGATCTTACAAGGTAGTTTTAAGTTTTAGGTGAACAGTTTCAGAGCCAGAGAGCACATGTTGAGAATGTACTAACTACTTCATGTATGTCAGCTTTTTTTATGATAGTTTGCTGTTATACTGTTCTGCCCCTGGATTATACCCATCTGTGATGCAGTTTCCCTTATGTTTCTCCAAATAGCTGACCCAGAAACACCTCACTCAACCATTATTCCAGTATAACCCTTTAATGAACCATCCTGTTCTTTCCTGGGGGGGTACACCAAATATAATTGGGAAAATATGCAAGACTCCAAAGCTTTTGTGTCTATTTTTCTCTGCATTAATTTTTACATTTTCTCCCACTGTATGGACCCACAGTAGTGGTCCTCTTATAGAATTCAATGTCCCTGCTTTGAAGAACATATAGAGAAACGAAGAAACTGCCCTTGGTCTGAAACAGGCTGCTTTCCCACCCCAGAGCTGTGCCCCCCAGAATGTGTGGTTCATTGTTCAGCAAGAAAATTCCTACTCCTCAGAAGTAGTTTCCGAAACCCAAACCAAGAGTATCTGATCCCTTGACCTCACTCCTCCTCATACTTAATCTCCACCCATCCTCCTTTGCTTTATTTTTGTAAACACCCAGAGTATCATGAATTCAGCCCCACCCTTGAGAAATTAATTTTGACATTTGCCTTCTAGCCATAGCCTGAGCAAACAATTGTTTATGTTCTCACAGTTACTAAATTCATATTTTTGTTTAAAACTTGACCTTCCAGAAGAAACCAGCAGGTGTTTCTAGAATACACAACTTTTCTTTCTTTTTTTTTTTTTTTAATACACAACTTTTCTAAACCTTGGTTCTCCCTAACACAGAAATGTCTTGTCAGAAGTCACTGGTGTACTTATTCAACATTCACAAAATCACTCAGTTGTCATATGGATTTTGAGAAAGATGTGCAGCAAGGTATTCAATTGTGCTGAAGCTTTGCTTAATGGCCATCAGTTTTTATACCCATTTTGTATGATCTGGCATATCCCCATCTACGCTGGTGCCAGACCTTCTCAAGCTACAGCACAACTTAATTCATCTGTTGTGGATAGGAGATTATGATGGACTCAATCTCCTGATCCCTCCAAACAGCATGCTTCACATTCACCTATCCACCTAATCACCTATCTTCTGTGACAGAGGGAATGGCTTCATCCATGCCCTCACCTTTATAGTTAGTTAGCCATATAGTTAGCCTCTAGTTAGCAATAAAGGCCTCTAGTCAGCTACCCTCCACTGTGTCTTTGCCTTTGGCTTCAAGATACTCAGAAAAATATAAGACTTTCCTGAATGAATCCAAAGTTTCTGCTATTTCATCATTTTCCTTGATGCTCAAATATCAAAAATAACACTTTGTGAGCCCATAGTTCCACAGCATCTTGATCTCCCCTGATCTCATCTATAATCCTTTTTAAAATTTTTATGCTAAAAACCAAACAACAAACAAAACAAAACCTGTACTTTAAAACTTTTAAAAAATGCACTTCTTCTTGAAACATGATGGCCTTAGGCTGGTATTCATTATCTGTAAACTTTCATAGCAAACAATAAAGTTTACAACTGTTTGTCTTTATTAGAACACCACTTCTTGCCTGTGACTCAACTCTGTGTAGTCTCCTCTAGTAATTAGTGTCATGATCTTAGGGAAATTTTATGAATCTTCAAAGCTTCAAATTGCAAACTGATTAAATTAGGGCAATAACTACCTTCTTCAAAGTGTTGTCATGAAAATTGCATTCCACAACATGAGTATCAATGTCTGATTATGAACCTAGTACTTGATACAGTGTGCACACACATTCTCTCTCTCTCTCTCTCTTTCTCTCTCTCTCATAAAAGAATTATATACACAGTCATCTTTTAGATATTGATGTTTTAGTCAACAACATGCTGCACACAGAATGATAGGCCCAGAAGATTATAGTGTAGTTGAAAAAATTTCTCATCACCTAGTTGTTTTTGGCCATTGTAACTAATATGTACCCAATGGGAAATATATAGGTTGTGTTTCATTGTGGTGACACTATTTATAATGATGAAATGTATTCAGTTTTCACTGCTGGTCATATAAAAGTACAATGTGTACAATACATGTGCACAATATTTGATAATGAATGATGCTAAACACTTAGTATATGTTATAGTATATACTTTATATATTATCTTAGTACCTGCTCCTACTTGTATGAGAGTTTACTATAAAACAATATATTACTGTGTTATTTCAGGTATAGTCTTATATGCCTCTGGTTTATTACGGCTCCTAATTGTATTATATATCCTATACTTTATTTAATCTTTACTATTATTATTATTTTATTTTACATGTTGGTCCCAGTTCCCTCTCCCTCCCCCCTCTTACCCTCTCTTCCCCCTCACATGCACCCTGACCACCCTCCCCTCCCCTCCCCCAATATTATGCTATCTTATTCAAATGGTCCTAGAAGAAATGAACTATAATAAACATGCATTTTGATATATGTCTACATGTATGTGTACATACATACAGATTATGTGCACATATATATGCTAGCTTGGGTGTGTGTATAATTATATTTTGTGATTTTTATACAACAAAATTGTCATTACATGCTACCTGCACCTCCCACCTCCTGCGTATACATGTGTGTGAAGGTTCATAACAATACGAAACATCCCATTGGGCAAACATTAGTTGTGTTTCAGAGATGAAGGATTAATGTCTCTTGAATTTAACTAACATATTCAATGACTTTTAGATGAACAATACAAATGAGATCTATGGTATACAATGGTAGTGGTTTAACAAGATTATATTGTCCATCCCCAGATATGTTAAAATCTAAATTTTAAGGTGATACAACATCATTTATAAGTTGTTTAATATCATTTGTATATGATGTTTCAGAACATACAAAATTAACCTTACTAATCAGTGAGTTTTATATCCTACTGCCTTCTGGGATTTTCATATATATCCTGGAGCTTTGCAGACAAAAAACAGGCACTTAGACAACTATGCCTGGAAGATACAGTTTACAGTTTAATTGTCAGAAATCCAAGTACTGACTCCTACCTCCTCATATTTTTTCCCTTTTTTAAAATTTAAACTTGAAACAAGCTTGTTTTACAGTTCCCTCTCCTTTCCCTCCTCCCCTGCCCCCCCAAACCCCTATCCCATCCCCTTTCTGCTCCTCAGGCAGGGTGAGGCCTTTTATGAGGGACCTTCAAAGTCTGTCATATCATTTGGAGCAGCACTTAGGCCCTCCCCCCAGGCTGAGAGAGTATCCCTCTATGTGGAATGGGCCCCCAAAGTATATTCTTATACTAGGGATAAATACTGATCCATTTCCAGAGGCCCCATAGATTGCCCAAGTCTCCTAACTGACACCCACGTTCAGGGGGTCTGTGTCAGCCCTATGCTGGTTTCAAAGCTATCAGTCAGGGGTCCATGAGTTCCCCCTTGTTCAGGTCAGCAGTTTCTGTGAGTTTCTCCAACCTGGTTTTGACCCCTTTGTTCATCATTCCTCCCTCTCTGCAACTGGATTCCAGGAGTTCTGCTCAGTGTTTAGCTGTGGGTGTCTGCTTCTGTTTCCATCAGCTACTGGATTAAGGCTCTAGGATGGCATATAAGGTAGTCATCAATCTCTTTACTGGGGAAGGGCATTTAAGGTAGCCTCTCCACTATTGCTTAGATTGTTAGTTGGGGTCATCCTTGAAGATCACTGGACATTTCCCTAGTGCCAGATTTCTCTTTAAACCTATAATGCCTCCCTCTATTGTGGTTTCTCTTTTCTGGCTCTCCTCTATTCTGCCCCCAACTCAATCTTCCTGCTCCCTCATGTCCTTCTCTCCTCTCCTCTTTCTCCTAACTCCCTCTCCCCTCCCCCATGCTTCCAATTTGCTCAGATTCAAACACACTCTGCTTTAGAACACACTTTCATGTTAATGGCATTTAGCTCTGTTGTGACTAATAATAACCCCCCATGGGAATGGGATGACACTCATGCTCTGAGGCAGCCCACTCTGCTATTTGTCAAGTACTTGTAGTCATTTTCATGTTGACCTTTTGGGGGACAAGGTAAGAGTGAGAAAATAATTCTATATCCTCTACACTTGGAAAAGATCATGAGACCAATAGCTATGTGCCAGAAAAGGAAAATGGCAGGAACACCTCTTTTGGGATGGAATATTTATTCCATTGATGGGAAGGGACTTCCTTCAGGATATTTCTTCACCTCACTTGACAACCTTATTCTAAAGAGTGACTGACTACTTTGCCCATTTGGAAACCGGAGTGATAGCTTTTCAGCATCATCTGATCACCCACTCATAGAGATACAAACTTTAAGTCATAGAAATCTCAAAATTACAATTAACTATCATATGACCATGCTTTCCTGACTGGTAAAAGTTCACAGCTTCATCAATGACTTGTCCAAGGTTTCATTGCTAGGAGACGCCAACACCTTCTTCCAAGCCTCATAAATGCCAAAGCTGTTGTCATGTTTGCCAGACCCCATCATGCTTAAGGGGTTCACTGCTTTCAAAAGAAAATTATTTTCTCAGGAACATACCTTAACCTAAATGTAGGAATACTATGGTTTGCCTGTGTTTAATACCTTCCTTTGGAGTAAAATAAACTAAGCAGGTAATTTCCTTTCGTTTCATAACTAAGACAAGAAACCCTTGTCTTAATCTCTTCTGAGAAAAGCTTAGTATAAGTAACAGTCCTACTTATGCAACACACAGAAAAATACCCTTCACCTCACAACACCTCCCTGTTAGTGAGAAGGGAAGTAGTAATTAACTGACAAATGCTACAGCACTACTCAGGGTGTGGCATGCTTTGAGAACTTCTTGGGTCCAACACTGACTTTGGATGATCTCACAGGAAAGGTGGAGAAACCGAAGCATTCCGTATAAATATGACCCCTCTCTTAGTGCACAGCACAGTCAGCTTTAAGCCAACCTCACACCACTAAAGTCCTCAGCACAGCACTCTCCACCATGAAGCTTGTTGGGGGCCTCCTTGTGCTCTTCACAGCAACCTATTTCTGCAACAGCTCAGGTGAGTTGGGTTAGACAGGGTCACACATAGTCCTGAAGAACTTTTCTTTTTCCAAACATTTCCTCTTAGATTCTCATACATAAACATCTGATCAAGAGGGTTTAATGTGAGGAGCAGTTTTGGCTTGGGAGAAGGATCATAGTTCTAGCTTTACTTTGAGGGAGTGGTATTTAATGCCCTCCCTTGAAAGGATTTTTACTTGACCCATGGACAAAAGGGTCCTAATTTCTTTACAAATTCTGTTACATAAGGATATCTATATCAATAGATGGCTACTCCTCAGTACAGAGATACAGAGTCCTTAGGTGTCTTCATGGATCCATCTTGGAGGATCAAAACAAACCATACTTCTCCAGAAAGCTCAAATTGACAATTTAGCTTTTAAATTGTGAGAAGAGGTTTAGCTAAACTAAATTTCTAACATGTTGGAGACATTCATTTACTTTTATGTTTGCTGGTGTGACACAGGATTCCACTATGTAGTCCTAGCTGACCTGGAACTTGCTATGAAGATCAGGATGACCTTGGACTTAGAGAAATCTGCCTGCTTTTGCCTCCAGTGTACTTTGATTAAATGTGTGCTCCAACACATGTGGCCGTTTGCATTTCTTTATGTTGATTAATAGAGCAAGTATATCAATGATAAGGATTCGTTGGCAAATGACTTTGTCAAGTATACCATAGGCTCTAGAAAGAATAAATAAATTTGCCTTCCTGACTCAATGGCTTACCCATGGCTATTCAAGTTTACAATCAAACAGCTGTGATTTTCCATAATGACGGAGTCATTGCCAAAAGAAATGAACAGTCTTTGACTGAAAGGCAGAACAATATTGATTAATGAAGTTCCAGATTTACTTTATTTTTAATATTTCCATTGTATTTGTCTTCCAGAAGTTACCACTCACCCTTCACCAACGGTAAGTGTGTTGAACAAAATTTTCATTTCAATTTCTATTGGCTATCACTTAGTCAAAATATACATCTGTCATATGTTTAGGGAAATCAACAGAGGAGACAAACACAGATGAAGAAATGTTTTCCCCATTTGTAAATAGATATGATAGTAGAACTTCTCTTATCGAAGTGTCCTAAATATTAAATAGTGGGAAATCGTGTCATACTAAAGTTAAATGTCTGATACAGAAATGCTCAGTGATTGCTCACTGAGTGTGGCATTGAAAGGAAGGAAGGGTGCTGGAACTACTGGTATTTATTATGATGGTAGTGTCACTATTTATAGCTTCAGCACCATCAGAACACCTGACATGAGAGAGACTTCAGCTCTTGTAGCCTTTCTAGTTGATCCAAGATAGTATTTGAGAAAACCAGGACATTTTCTTGTGTCTAACCAGGTGGACTGCGACATATACAAGAAGTACCCAGTGGTAGCAATCCCCTGCCCCATTGAAAACACGCCAGTTTGTGGTTCAGACTATATCACCTATGGGAATAAATGCAAGTTGTGTACAGAGATCTTGTGAGTATCAAATATAAAGAGTTTGTATCTGGGAACAATGTTCCCTACTCAAATCTTTTCTCTCCCTTTCCAAGATCCATCTTAATTATTTATAGTCTACTCATTTCCATACAGAATAGAGGGTGAGGAAAAAATCCAGTTGTAGCTGAATCAGACTAGGGTTGGGCCAGCTATTCTGCCAACTTGAACTGCTCCTATCCCACCACATAACCCTAATTATTGTAACTCTAGGAAGTCATGAGTTTTCAAACTCATATTTTGTAACATAGAGTCAAATAAAGAGTCACCAAATAGGTTAAAGTGGCCATTCGGAACCAAAGTTAAAGTTTTGCTACTTTAAAAAGTCAAGTTCCATGTAACTTTCTATGTGAAGAAAGATACCTGAATAATTGGATGTGTGGAATCCACTATGTCACATAATTTCTGAAATTTTGAACAGCTTTATGCATCTGGACTTTATTCTCAAGTTTTTATAGCCTCTAAGTAAGTATCAGTAGTTTTAAAGAACAATAGGCAATGAAATTGATTGGTTTACCTCTTTCCTAAAATAAAGGATGCAGGCTGTTATTATTGAATCAAAAGTCCATGGACATGCTTTGTTTAGGTATTTTGTTCGGTCTGCACAGTATTTGGAAGAATAGTAATTAGGTAGGTAAATTTAAAGTATAAGATGAAGCTTAGCACTTACTATCTTATACCAAATTCACTTTTTGTCATTGTTAACTATCCTTTAGCCACCAGCATTGAGACACTTATGTCTTGTGTTCTCCTCTTTGTGGTTATCTTAGCAAGTTAGAATAGCAAGTTGGGCCTGAGCCCAGTGAATATGACTATGCACACATTTCTGTTTGAGAAGTTTCCTTTCAAAGAAGGAAATATTCTTTAACACAGATGCATATTCAGCCCTGGACCAAGAAACTGGGCATAGTCAAGGCCAGGGGCCCCTGAGAGGGAAACATGATGGAAGTCTCCTTCAGTATCTCAGTATCCAGCTCCATCATTGCCATCCTGACCAAGAAAAACTGAGAGACGAGCTACCTCAGCTTCCTTCTGTGGGGTCTACTTTGTTCTTTGTTCTTTCAGTGCCTGGGGTGATGTTCTTGCTTCTGAGATCGGTAGAAGAAGTAGATTGTGATAGATTATCACTGAAGCAGTGAAACTCTCCTCTCTGGAAACAGCATGATGTTCAGGAACTCAGTCTTCCTTTCTGGAAATAGGTTCTACTCCACAGTCTTGTTCGTAGCCATAAATTACTTCATAGCTTTTGCTTTTTAACTTCCTTTCAACTTTTATATGTTCCTGATTATGTTGAAGTCTTGTTAATTCTATCTTCCCTCAGGAGGAGTAATGGGAAAATTCAGTTTCTTCATGAAGGGCACTGTTGATTTCTCCATGGACAAAGAAAGAACAATGATGTCCCCATCGTGTGTATCATAGTTGGGTTCTGGCAGATTCCCTTCTTTGCTGATGTTCTGATGGGGTTGGATCTAGATTCAGCCATCCTCACTGACTGTGCAACCTTTGTGTTCATCCTACTGACTCATGTCTCCTGTAAAATAGCTTTATTTTCCTATTTAAATAATAATAAATAATCTTTCCAGAAAGCTTAGTTTACTTCTGTTTGTGTTTGTTTCATAGGTAAGGTGTAATGTAGCTCAGTAATAACGGAAACTAAGAAATAGAAAATTATTGTTCAGATGAACTTCTGAACAATGAACACACAGTAGTTTTCAAAAACAAACGCACTCTGACCACATTCAAGATGCCTTCACATAGATATACAAGTGCCAGGTAACTCTTCCCTGTCTTCCAGTCTATAACCACCATGTATGGATGATACCAGTGTTCCAGTCTACAACTACTGTCTATGTATTTATTATATTGGTGTTTATTTTCTCCAAATATCTGGAGGGGATAGTTCAGTTGGTAAAGCATGAGAGCATGGGCTTGATCCCCAGAATCAATATTATCCCAGTGCTGGAGAGGTAGGCACAGGTGGGTACCTGAGGCTTGAAGGTCAAACAGTCTAGCCAAATCAGAGAGCCCCAGATCCTAGTGAGAGGCTCTGATGAATGGAAACCAAGGATAACCATTGTCTTCACTCATATACAATCACATGTTTATGCATACTAACACATGTGTGAAGACAAAACATGCAAACATACTATGTAAAATGTATAAACAACAAATTAAGTAAAAACTTTTATAAGATAAAAACTACTTGATTACTCTGTAGACAGAACAGTTCAGAAGTGAACATTATCCTTTGTGTGTGTGTGTGTGTGTGTGCACGCATGTTCATGTGTGTTTAATACAAAAGAAAAAGAAGAATGCTTTTCAAAAATTTTAAAAATAAATACACAGCCTTTAAAGACCATTGATTACTATCCAGCCTCCACAATTGAATTCTGTTGTCACCCTTGAGTCCTCTACATGAAACAGTTGAACTGTCTCAATCCAGTGACTTATATACAGCACCCAGGCTTCTGTATCCCATTTTTTTTAACCCATTTGTTGCACATAGATGGGAGCATATGTGCACCAAATGGCGGTGACCCTGGCTTTCCCTTTTATCTGTTTCTGAAGCCATGGAACAGCTAATAAGATGAGAAACACCACCACCCACTGCCTGGATTCTCCATATCTTTTCAAGGCCTAGTGATGTGGAAAGCATGTCACTATGTTGATTGCAGAAAGGACCCAAAGAACAGTCACTTGAAGTGTGAGAATTGAAAGAAGATAGCAGGACATTGTAGTTTGTAGGTGGCTCAGATGTTTTGCTGTTCTACACATGTCTATAAAATGTAACTGGAACCAATTGCTCTAAGACAGGAGCCATTGGCCTGTGATTAAATTTCTCTTGATGAACTGGCAAGAATATCCATTTACTGTTACAAAGACAACACAATGATGTTGAGTATCACATCTGGGTCAGATTAGGTGTATCTCAAGTATGAGAAATCAGACTTGGCTTTCAAAAATTTATAAGTATTTATTTTTTTACTTTGGGTGAGTAATTTGCCTATATATATATATATATATGCATAAGAGGCTATGGGATCCCTCAAGAGCTGGAGTTCTGCATGACTGTGAGCTTTTAAGTGGGTTCTGGGAATGTAACCTGGATTCTCAGCTAGAGCAACAAGTGCTCTTAATTGCTAAGCCCTTTCTCCAGCACAAGATTTCAGATTTCTACTCACATTACTGACAGTCTGTCTTGTGATCTTGGCCTTACACTTGTTCAACAGTGTCACATTCAAAAGATTGGGAAAAGGTCTTACAAATAGGAACACTGATTTCAATGATGACATGTATCATATATGACTGTACTCTCCCTTATGTAACCCTTTTTTTGCATCCATTTCCTAAAATAAAACTGCTGAAGGTTTTGCAAGACTTTCCTTCTCCTCATTGGAGGATTAAATGGCATCAACACACTTTGTCAGAGTTATGCACAGCAAGCAACAAACAAGATTTCAGGGTGACACACAACTGCACCTTTAAGTAGCAATCTGTGCCCTAGACCTTTAAGTAGCAAAAACCAAAGGAAAAGTCTGATAGCAGCCACTATTCCAATATATATGATGGTCCCTGTAATAATCAGATGCCACCTAGCCTGCAACTCAGCAGTAGGCAGAAAGAGAAGGAATGAGATAAGAATAGACAGGGCATCCCATATTTACATGTGACCTGCAGAATCACCATGCTAACCTAGTGGTACCATGTGCATTTGTTACTTTTCTCTCATATATAAGATAAATTGGTGTCTTTCATACCTCAAAGCAAGGGTCAAGTTGAGGAAAGGTTCACAAGTTCCTAATCAACCTGTTCAAATCAGACAGTTAAACTCTTTTAATGGCTTTATGTTTATTTGATATCATTTATGAGAAATCTCTCATTTCAAATAGAATTTGAAAATTTTTAAAAGTTTTTAGAAACATAGATATACACCAAGCAGTGTCTCAACTGAAGCTGGGGTGATGAGATATTCTTTTCTTAAGATGTGTAGTTGGATACAAAGAGATGACCAGGAGTTTTTTTTTTTTTTAAGTGTGGCTGGGTGTTTAATTTTCATATCTCTCATAGGGCTAGGTCTATCCTGTTATACCACCTAAGAAACACAGGTCAACTTTTATAGGGGAGTTCTCAGATTAAAAGCAATGGGTTGACGACATGAATAGCTGGTGGAGATAAAGTTTGATGCGACAGGTCTGTGGCTATTCACTAGTGTCTTGTGGGAAGCAGGAACTGAGTCTGGCCTCTGCTTTTCTTAGAGATTGACTGGTAACAGCAGTACTCACTATGCATACACACGTCCCAGAAGCCTCCACCAGAACACTCACTCACCACTGAGCCTGTTGTAAAACAAAACAAAACAAACAAACAAACAAAACAAAACAAAGGATACAGTGATGGTCACACATTGTTCCACATTCCTCACTCTGGTGATTTTACTCTTCCTTTATTGAAAATGTCTCTGGTTAGTCATGAACATTCGTTCTTAAAAGTTTAGGACCATGCTAAGGAAGAAAAGCTCATGAATACTGAATCACCCAACACAGTTGTGCAATGGGAAAATTTTAAAAAGTTCCTGTCATCTACTATAACTTAAAAAAAATGTGTGTGTGTGTGTGTGTGTTTGTGTGCACATATAGTTGCAGGAGGCCAGAAAATGGACTTGGAAGCTGGAGCCAGAGTTACAGGTGGTAATGAGCTGCCTGATATGAGTGCTGGGACCTGAACTTGCATCCTCTGGAGGAATATACTCCGTATGACAGGGCCATCTTCCCAGCACCATGCAAATAAAGAAGAATATTTTGTATTTACCTTTTTCATTGTCTTCTTTTGTTGCTAACAAATAAGGCCAATGTGGTTATATTCATTTTCTCTTAGTTATATAAAATCATACATTTCATTTTTACATTTTTATAAATGCATGTAAATGTGTATTTTAAAGTTGCTTTGAAGTTTACCACATTCACTTAAAACTGACTGATAAATACAAGTTAGCCAAGGAAGATAGTTGGAGGAGGGGTTTGAGTGGGAGTGGGCAAAGTTATCATGGGATTAAGAAATAAGAGACACACACACACACAACTTAAAACTAGAGTCCACAAAAGGGAGGCAATACGTGATGCTTTTTTTTTTTTTTTTTTTTTTTTTTTTTTTGTGTGTGTGGTTTATTTTACTAGACATAATTCTCAAATTTTCCTGTGAATTCCATGAGTTCATTTTTCTTCACAGCTGAATAAACTTCTATGTGTATATGCAAAAAGTAAAAAAGAAATGAGTAGCATGGTAAGGAAACACTGGGAAACGGAAGCACACACAAAAAAATGTTTACAGGTCACATATTTTAGCTTCTCTCTTCCTCTTTATTCTCTCTACTGCTCACTTCTCTAGTACTCCATCTTCCAAACATCTCCAGAGAATATTTTCTAAATCAAAGACCTCATCTCTCATTCATCACTAAGTATGTTTCAGTCAGTCTCACTTCTACTACCCCCAGTATCAGCCGCTCACTTCCCTGACCGATGCTCTCTATTTTCTACTTTCCTTCAGTCTAGTCACCCCTCTCAGAATCTCCTTTATGTCTTCAAGTTAGCATGTTTTTATACCTCTCTCAGCTTTCTGATTTCAATACCACCACTCAGCGCTTTTGCTATCATCTCTAAAAGGCTTGCCATCTGTGTTTGTTTCTCCTAGATCAGCACCTATGATAATATTCTCCCATTAATTCTAATATCTGCCTTCTATGTTAGTTTGAACTTACACCTAGAAAGCCATGTGTTCAAAATTTCAACGAATTAAAATTTTCCAACAAATAAGAAAGCAGCAAAACAATGGTGCTTTATTCTAATATCAATTCCTGATCTAGCTACGTGAGTTCATGTTCTGTACTAATCCCCATCAAGCTTCCTAAAAACAATTTGTAAATGCACAAAAAATGGAGAGCACTTAAGATTGCCCTGGACATTTTGAAGGAATAACCAACAGGCTGTGATCTTGTACATGACACAGCCTAAGACTCCTTATTACATTTTGGGGGGGGGCACCTCTTACAACATCACTTTGGAATTCTCATTTGTAACTTGAAAGGAAAGTTGCTGTAAGAGTTTAAAGATACACAAATTAAGTAACATAAAGTAAATCTGTTACATAGCCAAAAATCTGTTTCCAGGACTGAAGCCGACACAAATTCTAAGACGACACCTCACCCTGTTTCATTTTTAAGTAGATTGCCCACATATTTAAGGAAAGCAGACATTACTTCACCCAGTAACACGGTCTTTCAGAAACAATCGACACATGTCTCTGTCAGAGAGCATGATATTGAAGTAATAACTTTGCAATATTATTTACCAGTAATCATACAGATCAAGGCTATAGAAGCTAAAGTCATAAGGACA